AGGAAACCAGGAGTACCTTCAAAGGGAATGCATGCTTATTGCATACATATCAGAATACATTGCACAGCACTGGATATAACACGTGAGATAGGTATGGGTATCCATGGAAGTTTTTAGTCATCAGTCTACTTGGCAGAAATATAATATGTTGTTACAATACAAATTTGCAAATCTCAAACAAAACTGAAGTATAATTTCTAAAATCTTTGTGTGCTCTCTTCCCAATACAGCCTGCTTTACAGGTGGTTCACTGTGAAGAAAAAGATAAAAATATACCTAGAAAGTGCTTCCACCACCAAACAAGTAACAACAGATCATTTTAATCTTTGCACTCCCTCGATATACAACACATTACACTATGCTACATATCCAGAGGTTTCTCAACTTTTGATATGAGGTACAAATTAAAATTTGTTTGCCCATTATATAAACTAAAAATATGACCTGAGAAAATAATACCTTGTTCAACCCTCCAGTTTCTGTAGACAGAATTGCATAATTAGTTTTGAACAGTATACTGGCATCTGCTGTAGCCTGTTTTCCTGCCTTGTGACATGAGCAGCCTTGGTAAGGCCCCAGACTCACTGCAGCCTTGCATTGAATAAGCTGGAAAATGGAATAGAAACCCGAAAAAACTTAAAACCGAAGCTCAAATCCTTCTGTTTCACTCTGTCACTACTGAAAATGTTACACCTACCGAAAATGTAACTTCCGCTACTACGCAAGCGCACATTCATCACGCATGTGTCCATGAAACTACATTTTCCGGCACTTCTTTATTAGACATGCGTAATATGCACTTCCACAGGCTCGATACTGCGCATATATTCACATTTTGCTGCAGATCGTGATTGCGTGATTCAGGGGGTGGACGTCGTGTATCATCATACATTGATCACGTATTGTGAGATGGGTCATCGATGTTTATATTTGTAGTTAAGAACATAAGAACATAAGAAATTTACAAACGAGAGGAGGCCATTCGGCCCATCAAGCTCGTTTGGGGAGAACTTAGCTAATAGCTCAGAGTTGTTAAAATCTTATCTAGCTCTGATTTAAAGGAACCCATGGTTTTAGCTTCCACTACAATAGCAGGAAGACTATTCCATACTCTGACTACACGCTGTGTAAAGAAGTGCTTCCTCAAATTTGTTTTAAAATGTTCTCCCGCTAATTTCCACTTATGGCCACGAGTTCTAGTATTTAGACTTAGTTCAGCCGTCATTTCATTGTGTATTTAAACCATTTTGCTTTGCCGATTGTAATATTTTGCATCTGTGTGCGCATTGCTTTTAGTGCCTGACAGTAATCTTACATAAGGTTTTTCCCAATGGCATTGCTGAATAGATGCCTTTTCTTTAGAAAACATAATGAAATTGGGGTGTATATCAATCTTGTGTACCCATATTATAATTCTATTTTTTTTTTTTAAAGTCCTTAACCTGTGTTTCAAGAAAAATGAAATGAAAATGTTCCCCTTAGTTATGGACATGCATGGACATTATTTACCGTAATTCCCGTACATCTGGTTTTATTATACCTTAGCTTATTTTGCTTATCAAAGGGTTGTGATATACATGTACAGCATTTTCTGAAAAATCACACCAGAATAACAGTGAAGAACTTTTATTTGCACAACATAAAACATGTAACACAATGCAAATTTATCCAAAATTACAAAACCAGAAACAAAATTAGGCCACAACAGAGGACAGGAACCAAAAACTCCTCAGCAAGGATCGAGAAACAAACCTCTGGGGGTCCAAGGTCAACTGGCCGCCAAACCCCCCTGGGCATGATAACATTCCCGGCTACTCACAAACGATATATTTACAATTACGTACAAGGTATTTTCATCCTCATTTGGCCCAAGATGAAACAATCGGTCATCTGTCAGAAACAAATATAATTCGCTTCATTTAGCACAGGGGTGTCAAACTCCAGTCCTGGGAGGCTGGAGCCCTGTACGCGTAGCTTAGCTCTTTCCCTATTCCACCACAAATGATTTAGCTTATGAGCTGTGGTAATTAGCACAACGAGTTGAATCAGGTGTGTTAAATGAGGGTGAACCAAAAACTGTGCAGGGCTCCGGTGTTCTGACAAAACGTCCTACTTTATCAAAACATCCTACCTTAGTGCTAATCGATAGCCCTAACCCTAGCCCCATAAAAACCTTACCTTAACCCTAACCCTAATAGTGATGGCCGATTCGCGAACAAATCGTTCTTTTTAGCTCGTTTTTTTTTAGTGAACGGGTTGAACCGATTCGTAAGTCTGAACGAATCAATTTTTAGAATTATTTTAAAACGTTTTTAAAACTGATCTTTGGGTATTCAACATCCAAAAGCATCCCCCGCGATTTTGGATTTATTTTTCATGTTCCGTCTGCGCTTGTCATCACTTTCAGGTTTATTCTTATGTTCGTCACTTACATTCGTCACTTTTGCGTTCGTAGACTTCCGTCTGGTGCTGAGAACACCCGAACGGCCGAGTACCTGGTCTCTAACTAGCTGACTCCAAAAAAACCCGAGAGCCTGTTCGATGAACGAATCGAACTTACACACTCGGTCGGTGAATCAAACGAACGGTTTGCGAACCGATCCCAAGAGCCCTCGTGGCATTTACTGCGGAAATGCAGTTATGCTGTTAAAAGGAATAAAATAAACGCAGTTCTTCATCATTTATCACAACAGTAAATTATTGCATTTCTGTATAATAAAACTATGTCTTTCATCAAAGAACAAACTAAGATATTTACAGTGGTACCTCAGTTCTCTAACTCAATAGAAGTCGAATTTCTTAAAAGCTGAACCAACCAGTTCGAAAAAAAATGACCTAGAACTCAATCTGAATCTCAGAAGTCAAACCGTGAACGCTGACCTAAGATAACTTGTATGCGCAGGGAAATGAGTCACACAGCACGTCTCTCAGCGGAAACAAAGGGTAATGCTTCAGTCTCAGCCTCGCCTTTGCTGTGATACATAAGAAATCTACAAACGAGAGGAGGCCATTCGGCCCATCAAGCTCGTTTGGGGAGAACTTAACTAATAGCTCAGAGTTGTTAAAATCTTATCTAGCTCTGATTTAAAGGAACCCAGGGTTTTAGCTTCCACTACA